GTTAAACTTTCTCTAATAACTTACACGGGCGAGTGTAGTTTACGTGGTGACATTAGAGAATATCAGCCGCCTTAAATTTTATAATAGATTTTATATTGAGTATATTTTTGTAGGACTATTTCAGGCCACACTTTATGGGGAAAGTATTACATAGCCCTGATCAATAATACATTACATGTAAACAAAAATAAATAAATAAAATTAATATATTTATTTGTGTGAGGTGTTATTACTAAAGATATTATACTCCTGAAATTTTAAATTTTGAACTATTCAAATTAATGTAAATATCATTAGGAGGAGATCGAGAATATATTCAGTATGCGTGCATCGAGCAATCAGAGCCTTTCGTTCTTGCGCGTATTGTGTATGCGTTGCATGCCGGCTTGAGCGTTATGCGACTTAGGCGGTTGCCTAAGGCCTCGGCTAATAGAAAGGCCCAAATTTTTTTAAAATTTTCTTATATTAAGTTATACTATAATTATCTAAACTCTAATAAATATAAAAAAATAAGATTTATATCATAAAATAACTTTTTTTTTCTCTCTCCCTCCGTTTTGATTTTATATTAGGCCTCAAATATTTATATCCTAAAAATAACTTCTTCTTTTTTTTCTTTTTCTTTTTTTTTCTTTTTTTATTTTTTATTTTTTTATCTTTTCTCTCTCTCCTCATTTATTCCTATTTTATATTAGACCTCAAATATTTATATCCTAAAATAACTCTTTTTTTTTTTTCTTTTTTTCTTTTTTTTTCTTTTTTTTTTTTCTCCCCTGTTCTGTCAAACTCTAATTAATACATAAATTTAATATTGGGCCCCAAAAATTTACATATTTTCCCTCCCTTTTTCTACTCTCATTCACGTTTTACAATAAAATCCTAACCAATATAGAAATTAAATATTGGGCCTAAAAATTTGTATCATTAAATAAAGTTACACCAATAGTAAAATATTAAACATCTATTTAACGTTGTTGTTTGGAAAAATGGCAAAAACTTTTCATATATATATATATATATATAGATATATATGTTTTATCTTCTTTTTTTCCACGAGTCTTCTCTTCCTCCTCTCATTACAAGTTTACAGTTGTTATGAACTTATTTTTATTCTTTCGAAAAATTTGTAGAAGTATTGGATTTAGATTTCTAAACCAGGTTTGGTTATTTTTCTTTAATTATTTTTAAATTTTATTAACTTTTGTTGTTATAAATTTGTATGTATATATATTTGTATATTTTGTTTTTGAGTTGTGACTAATTTTATTTCCATTGTTGAAAAAGACCATTTTTTTTTTTTTTTTTTTTTTGCTTAAGGTCCCAAATTAAATTGAACCGTCCCTACACATGTATTGTGTACGAATAATTTTAATGTGCCCGATATACAAACGGTGCACCAGACATACCAAATTCCTTCTCGCGGAAATCAAAGTCATTATTTGGACCCGAGGCCCATTAACAAAGTGAATATTCCCATTAATGTAAATATCACTTGTACAAAGTGGAATAAAATTTACCCATGATAGTTATGATTGGAGGTATTGTGACAAGTGAGAAATGCATGAGAATAGTACAAATTCATTCTCTACCAATTAAAGATTAGACAGTCACTAGGAGGAGATCATAGACATTATTGGGCCATGAGGCCCATTAACACAGTGGGATATTCATTGTTCAATGAGTCATTTAATTTAAACCCTAGCAAAGAAAAATGATGAGCTGGCACACATTGATGAACAGGGGGTTGTTATATGTACCCATCCAACCTTATTCTTTGGCATTATGGCCATCAAAGAGCTGACAGTATTGATACATAACTGCAGAGGTCACGAAGGTATGGTGGAGCTCATTTAGAAATTTTTATTTATTTATTATTTATTTATTTTGTATTTACAATTTATGATCACCATCCACCAATGCCCACAAAGTCTATAAAAAGAGTGAACAAGGGTTGTATCATGGTTTAACAGCTGGTGTGACAAATTTGGCCTAGTGTTTTGGGACATGGATAATGTTTCAATAGTTTTGGAGACCCATGTCATTATATATTGACTTTATCATAAGGTATTATAGCATGTCCATATATATTCAACATGGTCTCCATTATCCTTCTTTTTGTTCAAATAAAAAAAAAAAAAAAAAAAAACCTCTTGGGAGGTTTGAGTGGGCATCCAAAAGTATCACTAATTTTCATGAATGCACACGAAGCATCCAATATCTTCGTGTATTTATGTATAGGATAAGAATCGAACGTGAAATATCTGAGTGATTTGACTCAATTAGCCTGTTGTGGATCAATAAATTAATAGAGTCTACATCCCACAAATGAATATATATATTGCCGTTATTATTTTAAGATACAATAAAAAAAAAAAAAAAAAAAAAGAAGAAGGTACTATTATATAGTTTTTTTCCCCCCAAAAAAAGTTAAATAAAGATAAATAACATGATTCAAAAGATAACTTTATTTATTAATTGTATCGTAGAATGATATGTGGAGATTGTTACAAATTAGGGTTTGATGTGTTAATTTTATAATGAAATTTTCACGTACAAATCTTACCCAATCTCAAAATACCTCATAAACGAGTTGATTATAGTGAGTGGAAAGAGACGATTGCAAATATACAAGCCTAATTTTTATGATTCAAAATATCTTAACACTATTTTATAATAGGGCAACGCACTACATCAATGGGGGCTTAGAGTGGGGTCCACAGAAGCTTAGATAGGTCCACACCTTTATGATTCATCATGCACCACCATTCCCAATGCTTGCTTGGATTAAGATAAAAAAGGTTACTTAGGGTAAGTACAAGCCCAAAAATAAACTTAAATATTGATTTTTTTCAACTTCATTCATGCTTGCTATTCATTATATTATATAAAAATAAAGAATATATATATATATATATATATGCATTATTATCTTATGAAAATGTGACATTACAGAGAAGGGCACTTCCACAAATTTTGCCACTCTCCTGCTATCATTAAAACCTATAGTTGTATGGATTATCAAACTCGAATAAAAGAAAGAAGTTTAATGTGTTGTAAGTCATTGTTTGGTATGGTTCTTTTTAAAATGAAAATATTTAGTAGGCGGTGGACAAAATAATTATTTTAACATTATATCCACAAAATAATTATTCTCATATTAACTTTAACTTAGGAAGTAGATAGTATTTATTATTATTTTTGTTTGGTTGAGGATAGTGGTATTAGATTTTTAAAAATATATTATAATTTATCACGGTGCACATACATTTCTTTTGTCTTTAGACACTTGAACTCTTAAAGTTTTTCAACTCACCTCTTGTATTGGGAGTTCAAATTTAATTACTCTCTGCGTTCTAATTTGTGCTTTTTAGAAATATAACTTTTTAGGAAGTGATTTTTAATTATTTTGAGTTTATGAATGAATTAAAGTAATTTTGAACACGAGTTTAAACCAGGCTAAACACTATCGAGGCTTTCTTTTCTTCTTTCTCTTTTTATTTATTATTTTTTATTTTATGAAACAAGCTTAACTAAGTTTGAACTTTTCAAAATAATGACAAGCTGAATTCGAGCACAACTTTTCAAACTCGCCACAAGCTTGAGCTCAAATAAATCAAAGTTTAGCTTGGTTCTTAGTTCATTTGCATTTCTACTAGGAGTGAGACTTGGGTGGGCCTAACTCGCGTAACCCGATTTTCTGTTAAAATTTTTTACAAGAGTGGACAAGGTATGAGTTTAAACCTTAAATCCCAAATTAATTTTGAGCTTTAATTTGGGATTTGAATAAATATTTTACTAACTAGAGGAACCTGAATATAAGAATAATTTATAACTTTTATATTTTTAAGACATAAATAATTATGTAAATTAAAGTTAAAATTATATGATTTATAGTATTATCAATCATGAATTTTATTGGAATTCGTCTAACTTGGAGTCTTGGACACGCTTATTTTAAAATTTTAAAGTAAAAAATAAATTTTTAGCTAAGGAAACAAAATAATAGAGAATATAAAATTTCTAGTCATATACTTTACCTAAAAAATTATAAAAAAGATAGTGGTACGACGTGGGCTGAGATGTGGTAGGTTTTTTTAAAACTTGTACTTGGTGCAGATTAAGGTGTCGTGGGATAATCCTTAACCCGCCCAAATTTATTTTACGAGAATTTGATATTATTATTGTTATTATTATTATTTATTTCAAGATCATTGAAACCTAATAAGAAATCATATGAATTATCGAACTGTAATGTCCAATAATAAATTATCATCTAAAATGGTTTCCATCAATTAATGATTTTGCAAGTTATAGAATCCGGATGATTCGGCTTAGAAAATATTTTATGCAAATAGTGACCGGCCGAATCCAAATTTCATTTTCATAATTGTTAATCTTTTTATAAAGTATAAAATCCTTGATTTAAAAATTAGATTTTTACCAAAAACGGTTGATTTATGTACAAAAATTAGGGAGATTCTCTTGATCAACCATGTTAGGAAATAATTAATTTCCAAAAAAAAAAAAAAAAAAACTTATGTTTGGTAATAAATAATTATAAAATATCTACTTACAAAGATCTTAATAAATTTGACATGGTATGAATATTAGTTGTATTACTAATTTTATAAAGACTATAATTAGATAAAATGGTCCATTCCAAATAGAAACGTTCCAAATCATAATTTAACCAAAGCAGAGAATCGTCAACGTTGGACGGTTCACCGACCGGTGTGGGCCCACCCGACTCAAGACAATGGCACAACATGTAAATAAATGCATATGTGAGGGCATTTATTTTTCCACCTCACGAACTCGACCTTCAGGCCTCAGCTTCCTAGGCGATTCCGTCACGTCACGATGGAACCAGAGAGAGACTGAACAGTTGGGAAAAAACACTGATCCGATGTAATTATGGTACACGTCCAAGGGCATTTTCGTCTTTAGAGAATAAAAAGGCTGAGCTGAGCTGGTCGCATATTACTTGCATAGTACCAACGTTTCCCTATGCCAATGCAATATACCGGCTTATAACTCCTAACTTTCTCTCTCTTCACTCTTTCAGTTTCTCTCTCTATTTTTTCTTTCACTTTCTATCTCTTTCTTCTCTATTCCTCTTCCACTTCTCTTCTCTCCTCTCCCAGGACAACCCATTCGGAAATAGAGAGGTTTAGAGAGAGAAATATTTATATATATAAAGTAATATATAGGCAGTGTAGAGAGACAAAGCGCCGGAAATGCTGGGTGAGCCAGTTCACTTCCGGCGAGGTTAATAGGGAGAAGAGAGACAACTGAACGGAAAATGCCAGAACCAGTTTTACCATTTGATGAAGAAGAGAGATTTCTAGAGATAGAGACGAAGACAGAGACTGAACCAGTGGTGGTTCAAGCTGTGTCTCTCATCGGTCGGAGCCGATCACAAGCCACCACACGGAGAGTGACTCCGACAACCACCGTCGCCACCGTTGAGAAATCACTCCCCAACGGCGATCTCTACACCGGGAACTTCTCGGGGAACACACCGAACGGATCGGGGAAGTATCTGTGGACCGACGGGTGTATGTACGAGGGGGAGTGGAAGAGAGGAAAGGCCCACGGCAAAGGGAAGTTCTCGTGGCCATCTGGGGCGACCTACGAGGGCGAGTTCAAGTCGGGTCGGATGGAGGGATCCGGTACCTTCATCGGGTCCGACGGCGACACATACCGTGGATCGTGGTCGTCCGACCGGAAGCACGGGTACGGCCAGAAACGATACGCCAACGGCGACTTCTACGAGGGGTGGTGGCGGCGAAACCTCCAAGACGGCCACGGGCGGTACGCGTGGAAGAACGGGAACGAATACATCGGCGAGTGGCGGACTGGGGTAATCAACGGCAGAGGAACGCTGATTTGGGCGAACGGGAACCGGTACGACGGCGTTTGGGAGAATGGGGTTCCAAAGGGCCACGGCGTGTTCACTTGGGTCGACGGTAGCTGCTACGTCGGAAGCTGGAACAAAGACATCAACAATGGCGCCAAATCGAATCAATTGCTCACCCAACAAGCCATTCTCAATGGAACTTTCTATCCCAGCAACGCCAACAACAGCAACAGTTCGAGTGGGAAGGAACTGAAAGAACAGAAAAAAGGTTGCAAATTGAATCAGAAATTGTCAATCCCATTGATGGATGAGAGTTGCGAGTTGTTGGTGGCGACGACCGCGACGGCGACGAAGAAGAGGTCGTCGGTGGACACGTCGAGAGGGAGCTGGACGGAGAGGAATTTTCCGAGGATTTGTATTTGGGAATCCGATGGTGAAGCTGGTGATATCACTTGCGATATAATCGATAATGTGGAGGCTTCGATGCTTTACAGAGATGGTTCTGGGTCGGATCGTGATGGGGTTAAGCAGTTTCGAAAGGGTCCATGTTGTTTCACTGGGGAAGTGAAGAAACCGGGACAGACTATATCGAAAGGGCATAAGAATTACGATTTGATGCTGAATCTCCAACTGGGTATTAGGTAATTCGATGAATTGGTTTGTGGGTTTGTTGATTTTCATTGCAATTGTTTGTCATTTTTGATTGATTAGCTTTTGAGTTTGATTAGGGTTTCAATTTTGTGTTGTGGGCATTGAATCGTTTTGGGTCTGATTTGGGTTTTAATTTTGTGTTGTTGGTTTTGTAGGTATTCAGTTGGGAAGCATGCTTCGATTGTGCGGGACCTTAAGCCTAGTGATTTCGAGCCCAAGGAGAAGTTTTGGACTCGGTTTCCACCGGAGGGATCAAAGATGACACCGCCCCATCAATCGTGGGAGTTCCGGTGGAAAGATTATTGTCCCATGGTGTTTAGGTATAATTTATGTGAAATCATTGATTTGCAGTATTTGTTTTCATTCTTTATGGACTTATGATTTTTGTCTGCAATTTGTTATTGTCAAAAGTTCAAATGTTTAACCTCTATTAACAATTTTAGATTACTGGGATTGTAGTTGGTGATTAATTGTTTTGTTATTCAGACATTTGAGGGGGCTATTTCAAGTTGATCCTGCGGATTACATGTTAGCTATCTGTGGAAATGATGCTCTTAGGGAGCTTTCTTCTCCGGGGAAGAGCGGAAGCTTCTTTTACCTGACTCAGGATGATAGATTTATGATTAAAACAGTGAAGAAATCGGAAGTGAAGGTTAGTCAATTGCCTATCTCTTTGACTTTTTTATCTTGTGTAATTTCAAAACACCATTGTGATACACTGATAGCGAATTTGGTAAAAGTTATAAAATTTTCAAACTCTTGGAAACCTGGTCAAGAATTGAAGTCTGCTAATCTCTCCAGGTGCTTATTAAGATGCTTATGAGTTACTACCAGCATGTTCGTCAATATGAAAATTCTCTTGTGACCAAATTCTTTGGTGTGCATTGTGTCAAACCAATTGGTGGACTGAAGGTATGTGTTGTGAGAGTGAAATTTGAATTGTCTCTATTCAAGTGGTCTTATTATTGGTTGCGCTTCATCCATGTGTTGAATTATATTTTGTGTGATTGAAAAACAGACGCGCTTCATTGTGATGGGCAACTTGTTCTGCTCAGAGTATCGAATCCATAGGCGGTTTGACCTGAAGGGATCATCTCACGGCCGGACCACAGATAAGCCTGAAGGGGAAATTGATGAAACCACTACCCTTAAGGACCTCGATCTCAACTATGTGTTTCACCTCCAACCAAAATGGTTCCAAGAACTCATAAAGTGAGTTTAAAGAGTATAAACCTTAGAATCTTTATACATATAGTTTCCTATGCTTACCAAAATTCACTGTCACTCATCATATGCTTGAATTGCCTACAGACAAATTGATCGAGACTGTGAGTTCTTGGAAGCCGAAAAAATCATGGATTATAGTCTTTTAGTTGGCCTTCACTTCCGTGATGACAATACGGTTGACAAAATGGGGTTGTCGCCATTTCTTTTGCGTAATGGTAATTGAACATGTCATTACAGTTTTTGATAGATAATCTTTTGGGGCAACAAGATTTGTTGAATTGAAAATCTGCTCCTTTTCAGGCAAAAAAGAGTCATACCAAAATGAGAAGTTTATGCGTGGCTGTCGCTTTCTTGAAGCAGAGCTACAAGATATGGATCGAATTCTAGCTGGCCAGTAAGTTTTTCTAGCTGTTCCGTTATTTCTCTCTAGCTTGAGCTAGTATCCAAGTTCTACTGCAGAATTAGAAATATTACTATCTGAAATTGCCAACAGTCTACAGCTAAGACCCAAATATTTTCTGTCACAGTACAATCATGAAAGGACATTTTGTTGGGTCTCACCTCTATAATTTGTATGGCATTAGATGTTAATTGTATGATAATTGCTTCCCACCTACTCGTTATTTATTGAATCGTAGAGGATGAAGGATGTATGCTATGTTTACTAAACTGCCGGGTGAACCTCCAATGTGCTATGGCGAAAACCAATTTATTGCACAGCTGATCTTTGTGATTAAGTTAACACGTAGAGGAAATTGATATGGATATGAAAATTGAACTGGATTTTTGAAGATGAGTGAGTTAATCGCTATTAGTTTTTATTGCTTTGTATAAATGTTTCTTTCTTGCATTCAATTCAGGTTTTACTTTTTATTTTGGTCCGCTTTACGTACTAATTTGAATTTGAACATTTCATTCTATCAGGAAACCACTGATCAGGTTGGGGGCCAACATGCCTGCGAGGGCAGAGCAAATGTGTCGTAGGAGTGACTTCGATCAATATACACCGGGTCGATTAAGTAGTTTGACCCCTTCACGCAGTGGTGAAATCTACGAAGTAGTCCTCTATTTTGGGATCATTGATATTTTGCAAGACTACGATATCAGCAAGAAGCTGGAGCATGCATACAAATCCCTACAAGCCGACCCTACCTCGATCTCAGCTGTCGACCCTAAGCTATACTCCAAGAGGTTCCGAGATTTCATAGGTAGAATTTTCATTGAAGACAGGTAGCAGTGAGGCAAAAAATGAAAAGAGAAGCCCTCCTCACGTGGCTCCGCGGAGGGTCCGGTTTAAGATTTTGACTGTGGAATTGGTTGAAGAGTCGCAAGTTGAATTCGAAATTCCACTTCGCGAGGGGAATTACGGAGCCCTCTCACGGCTGCTGGAGGGTCCGACCAGGGCATTGCAAATGAGCACAATGGTGACGGGTCGGATTGGCAGCTTTGGGTTAAGAGTGTGTGCGCGCTCATGGCTGAATTTTGTGGATCAGCCATGGTGTCTAAAGAGTATAGAGGGTAAGTTATTTGTACATTCAAGGTGAGGGAAATTGGATTAACATATATATTTTTTTGGGTTAAATTTTTTTTTGTGGGAACCAAGGGGAATGTGAAGATTTGAAAGATAGGTATAGGGAACAGAGCTGATGTTTCCCAGAGTCAGAGAAGATTCAAAAAATGGTTGTAGGCTTGGAATAAGTAGAAGTGTACAGTTTATAGAAAATGATATGTTTATGGAATTATGAATATTTTTGTGGATTAAATTAAAAAAAAAAAAAATGTTTTTACTGCAGGTGGTGCATATGAAGTTATAAACCCTCTATAAAGTATCTCTAACACACACACACACACACACACACACACACAAATGTGGTCCCAGTCCTCCACTCCTCTCTCTCTATATATATAAATATATATATTTGGAGAGAGGGAGGGATGAAGGGGTGATTGCTTTTCTTTTGGTTGCAGTGAAAGGGGGTACTGGGCCTGGAAGAGTTAAGCACATTAAAAGGAGAGAAAGCACCATAAAGATGCGCTGGTGATTCTTGTTTTTGCTCACTTTGTTTACTCAACAAACACTTCTTTTCGCTGTTTTGTGTTTAATGTTTTTGGGGAAATTTTGGAAAACAAATTTTGTTTTCTTCTTTTGAAGAAACTGAGGAGTGCTAAAGAATACTAAATGCCAAAGCAAATGGGGTAAAATAGACCATTGACCCAAAGGCTAGTCCATAGCATCATATTGAAGGCTTGGTTGGAGTAATCAACCGTCCACGTGGCAGAAACACAGTTGCTGGAAGATGACACTGTTATTCCAGAGAAGTTGGGAGGGTAAAATAGTAAATTTGAACACCATTACTATATACAAAGTCCCGTGGCAGGGACTAGTAACCCTCAGGTCTTCCGTTGCTGGTGGTGGGGTCGAAATTGCACCTCTTCCCATACTACCCCTTTTTGACCTTGTTCTCTGTTTTGGGACCTTATTGAAGGTCCATAGAAATGCTAGGATTCATATGATAGCTAGAGTTGATTTTTTGGGGGAAAAAAAAAAATCAACTTATTTTTTCGGAATTATGTTGACATCAATTGTTATTAAGGGTTTTGTTTTTTAAAAAAAAATTAAAAAAATTTCTATTAAGGCTCTCTTCTAGCCAATCAAAATCTTTTTGGGACGGTAAAAGATCATGTCATAGTAAATATCGATTCGATACTCTCAAACTCAATATTAATTCATGTCTAATTAATTTTGGTCGTATCTTTACGCACCACTTAAATCAAATACATGTCATACCTAACTTTACCTGCACGCTTTATTTGTAGTATGTGTCTTACATTCATTTATATCATCGACTTTCACATTCACCTTAACATCGTCATTTCTGCATAGTAATTCGTCGAAACTCAGTGATCTGATATTACTAGGCTACAACCCTTTACCTGCTGCTACTATCCTTTTGTATGACCTAAATTTTTAATAAAAAGAAATGCTAACCTTAAACAAATGATATATATATATATATATATATATATATATATATATATATAATTTTTATTTTTCCTTATTTTTCCTTTTTGGATATAAAGAAGGTGTCCTCTTTCTTTTTGGAAACAAGAATATTCGCTCTATGCACATGTAATCACCCTAGAGTCGCATATATTTAAATAAAGCGCGGCAGAAATTGAACTCATAAGTAGTCATCCCAAAGAGATTCTAGAATATTCAACCTATTCCGCTGGGGTTCAAATGGTAAATTACTAATGACAACTATTTTGGGAATATATTGAAACTATTCTTGAAATTAATACTAACATTTTAGAAAATGTTTTTTCATTCTATTTTCTTGTATACACACATTTGTACAAGTAATTTTGTCATGCATGTGCATGTGTTTCTTTGTCCTACAATTATATCAATTCAACAAGTCTATATTATTTGTAAAGAAATTGTGAAACTACCGTAGAGGACATGAACACTATCTCTGTTTCTCTTTTCTCCCACAATTATGATAGCTGTCTCATTCGACTCATTTGCAATGTTGCATTACAGTAATACAGACAAATTTGTTAGCCAACTGTAAGAAAAATTCGTTGGCGTGCTCTTATTGGAGTCTCTCTTTTTTTAATTTTTAATTTTTTTTATAAATAAAAACCCCTTTGAAAAACTCTACCAGACTAAACATTTATAGATTAAAAAAAAAAAAAAAAGGCAATAGCAATCCCAGTGTGTGTGTCAATGAGTCCGCCCTCAGATGTATCAAATGAGACCCACCGTTTTGGTTGTTTTTGCATTGTAGCAAAAGTATCGCATGAAAAATAGTATCAAAGCGCTTTGGTACTATTTAAATCGCAGTAAACGTTACCAAAAAAACTTTTGTTTTGCTACAATACACTGACAAAAATAAAAAACTTGAAACAAAAGCATTTGCTAAATGCCTCCTAAGATGGTATCACTATCCACCAAATAGTTGGAGAATTGAGGATTTTGTTTTTACCAATTTCTTAAAGAAAATTGTGAATAAATAAGAAGTTTGAACTCGTCCCACCTAATTAAAACAAAACAAAAGGTCATAATTCAGTATCTGTCCTAAGTAAGATAATGAAATGATCAAGTCCGTGTAGATTTAAACTTTGTCATATTTGCGTGATCACAACTCAAGTTTGAAATTTTTAAATCGGAATTCAAAATTCATGGAGAAAATGAACGTATGTGAATCTAATATGCCCACGGATGCATATCTAAGAAACACTCACATCCCATGGCATGTCCCTTTACATGTCTCCTGTCATCAATTTCTCCCTTCATTCCTCTCTGTCGAAAAATGCTCAACACTTGCATTTCAGAGTCATGACAGCCTCGTGACAATGACGGCTTTTAAACGCGGAGTTATGAGTCGGATGGATTGGATACAAACTTCATTTTTAGTATTATTTGAACGGAGTAATTATCTTTGTGTTCAAAAATTTCAAACGGATTAATCTGTACTTTTTATTTATTTTATTAGTACGTGAAAATGTGAGTTTTGAGTATGAAAATAACTGTTTGTATAAAATAAGGGTGAAAAATGAAAATATATAAAATTTTAAAAATACAATATTCATTTAAGGATTGTTAATCCTATGATTCCTATCTAATTGGAGTGTCCCAATCAGCATATCCCATTTATTTTTATTGATTTTAATATTATACCTTTCAACTCTGATTCTAACATGACTCGTGCATTTGTTATGTCAATGGAATCCATTAATCTGTTTCAAAACATCCCATAAGACACAATTCTTAGATGTAGCGAATACTCAATAAGCTTAAAGAAATGAAATGAAATAAGACCTCCATTATGTTTCCTTCTGTCAGTTTCCATTTACGAAGTACGAACATTTTTATGAAGAAGTCATATTCGTATCATGTTCGTGTCGAATACTAATATTCCTCAAATACATATTCGATTCTTCATATACGTATCCATAAATATAAATAATTTTTTTATTACTTTGAAAACTTTCTCGACACTATCAAACACTTCGTCGACAATTCTTAAATACTAAGGCGTTAGGCTGACACTTTCAAACATTTCTAATATAAGTATATCTGGTAATCTTGGAAATACTATTAACACATTCTAAAATGTTTATTTTTTTTTTATTTATGAAAAATTGACATTATACACATATGATCATAAGCAAAGCATTAAATGATATTTGTTCGTTTAAAATAAAAATACTAATATATGATATAATAACTGTATATATGATATAGAAGTCATTACAACTCTTATATAAAATTAGAAATGAGTTGAAGTTTTATAATACTATTACTCAATAGATGTGTGTGTGTATATATATATATATAAATTCATAATTATATATAGCAATGTCCTACTTTTTAAAATTTTGGTGTGTCCATGCATCTGTGTCGTGTGTATCCGTGTCTCTGTCCATACAAAAAATGGTAATATTAAATATAATTTATATTGTTTTTCAAATTTATTTATTTATTTTTTTCATAGAGGAGATATTCATTATATTCCCTACTTTACTGGTGAGATTAATCCACCTTAAGACACATGCAATACTCCCACAAGCCACCTGTGCAAGTAACTTATTAGAGTTGCACATCTAATAGAGTAATAGTGGGAAAATTTAGATCTTAGTATGAAAATTTATATACGTATATATATATACACAATGATGATGGGTTAGGGTTGTATTATTGTATAGTATACTTAAGGGTCCCCTCTTAAGTTTTAACTTGGTAGACGTTGCATAAAACTCCATCACCATAAATTAAAAGATTTGATTTGAACTCATCACATGAATCAATCTTTTGTGGGCTTCTGAGTTTGGACCACTCAAATGACTCTAATCTTCATCACTCTACTAGTCATCGTCACCATCCATTCATATCTTAATTTTGTATATATATATATAAACGAGTCGGCCATTTAAATTTTCTCCAATCATTATATATATATATATATCTATACACAAATCATCTCTATTATAATATTTAATTTGTAATTTCGGTCATCTTCCATCGTTTGGAAAAAGAGATGATAAAGAGTATTTTACGTAAGTTTTTAACAGTGATTGAGAAGGTGACGACTTATTATAGGTGTAAAAATAAACCGTTTCATCTAATTATTATGAAATTAATAGTGTAATAAAATTCACAATAAAACCACCATATATAAATTATGATTTAACGGAGTTTTCATCAAAATATTTGCAACAATAATTGAAATATACTTACACACCCTGCTTAATTAGATGACAGAAGGCATTTATGAATAAAAAGTCCTTTTGCATATTTAAAAGAATAAAAAAATAAGAAAAAATATTTTGGATAGAGTAACGCTATCATGAGGTGGACTTCATGATAGTTGTCTTGTGATCTCTTTTAAATTTAACATATTTTGAATATAAAAAATAGTGAACAAATTAATCATGTAGCCAATATTAAAATGATCTCACCGGAAAAAAAAAAAAAAAAATCAACTCAAAATACCATAAAATAAAGTTATATGAGACAGTCAAGGATGAAAATTTAATTTGGCCAAAAAAAAAAAAAAAAGGGTTTAAAGAATGAGAATATAAAAGTTTGATTAATATATATGATTTGAACTTTTACATATTTTCGTGGATTGGTCCAAATTCTTATCATTTTATGTTAAAAGTAACTAGTATGGTGGGTTGATTCTTTGTAAAAAAAAATCATTGAAAGCACCAATAAATACCAAAATTTTGTGAATTTATGAATTAAAGGGGCATACTTGAACATGGGTACATTCATGAATGGAC